TCTTGGATATACTATCAACTTCTCGGGTCTGTGTCCTTCAGGAGTAAATATATACCCCATAGAATACAAATTTTGTCATTTTGACCCGCTAAATATTGACCGATCTTTATAAAAACAGGCATGCTTATTCTTTGACCCGATCACCTTCTCCATGTAAAAATTTGCGATGTTTGGACCATAATTGCGACCTGCGGAGCGACCAGAAAACCCGAAAAAAATTAAGTATTTGGTCCATGTCATCCCCTAAATATTAACCGATCGTTACCAAAAACAATTGGGGTCTTCATTGGCAAGAACGGGTCATACATGCAAAATGTTGTGAACATTAGTCCATAGGTTCGGTTAGGTTAGGGGATGTGCAGTTACTTATGTGGCTGCAGCACTCTGAGACCGTTAGGTCCGTTGTGATCATCCACGAGAAGAAAAGAGATAAGGACAAATCTTTAAGGGAGAGAAGATTGGGGAAATAAAGGAGATTAGAAGCTTACAGAAAGATATAAAAAGGTAACATTGGAATAAGGTCGATGGCTATAGGAATCAGATAGAAGATGTGTTACGTGTCAAGGTTGCACTTTCCTAACCGCTTTAGGTTTCTAATTATGCTGTAGATTAGAGCAGGTTCGGTTGTTGAGAAGAAGCTAAGACTCGGTAGAAACTGAGCACCCACTAGTCTGTGCTGCTTGTAAGCTGGGCAGTGTCTACAGTAATCAATTGTATCAATATCCCATTTACTAGTAAAAACCCTGATATTGCAGTGACCGGTAATGATTCCTGTCATTACTCTTATTTCAGCTTTGTTCAGGTTCAGCAGTGAGTGCGTTCTTTCAAGATCCAAATGGATCTTGACACGTTGCACCTAGGTTCGTTGTGCCAAAGTTCATAGGCTCTTTCGTCGAAGAATGCCCCAAAGTTCTGGTAAAAATGACATATGGATGGTTTGGTTGTATATCACATAAGAGCTTGTCCAAATAATTACGCTACCTCACCTTCCAGAATATCTCCAAAAAAATTAAATGTTCCTGATTGTGTTTTTTTGCGCAAAGTACCCAATATTGACACATCCTAAACGAGCATAAAAACCCAAAACAAACATCAAACATACAAAATAAATAAAACAAGAACAAAAAATAACATCAATTCATTTATTTTTTTGGTTTGTCGATGACAGCAATCACCGGCCAACAGAAAGCGGTCAAGTAAAAGTCCATTATTATTCCTCCCTTAAGGTTGGGCAGTTCTAAACAACAATAATTCTCTGGAGTGCATTTAAAACTAATTGTTTTTGTTTTTTGTTCGGGCTTCTTCGTCATCATGAGCAGGAACAGCTTGAGTCAATATAATGTGAATAGCAACAACAACAATAACAACAACCTTAACATCAACTACAACAATGGCAACATCAGACGGTGGTAGCAACACCGAACACCACACCAAACCACTTGAAAAAGTGGCAACGATTTCTGTTTTTTTGTTGTTGTTGTCGATGTTGTTGCTAAGTGTTCTAAGAACACAACAGTAACAACGAAATAATGTTTTCTGATGTTTTGTTGGCCAAACAATTGCAGTTGAAATCATAAAAGCAAATAAATAAACAATGAACCACAATTTGAGTTGAACAAAGTTTCGGTGTTGGACAAAAAAATCCCGAATTCTTTTTTTTTAATTTAATTGAAGTAAAGCTAAATTGAATTGTTGTTTCGACGCCAAAAAGTAAAAAAAAAGTAAATGAATGAACACAAATATTTGTTAGACGAGTTTTGTTTGACAGATTGGTTTTAATGGTTTATATGTATGTATGTATGTAATATTTTATTAAAGAAATCGTATGAATGTTGGACTATTAATTATTTTCATATATTAAATAATTGACCCCTAATTGTCGCCTTGAAAATATTTTAAAAAATCCACGCCTTAGGATAGGCTATAAAAAATCCCCGCCTTAGGATATGCTATAAAAAATCCACGCCTTAGGATAGGCTATAAAAAATCCACCACTTAGGATAGGCTATAAAAAATCCACGCCTTAGGATAGGCTATAAAAAATCCACGCCTTAAGATAGGCTGTAAAAAATCAACGCCTTAGGATAGATGATAAAAAATCCACGTCTTATGACAGACTATAAAGAATCCACGCCTTAGGATAGGCTATAAAAAATTCACGCAAAAGGATAGGCTATAAAAAATTCACGCACAAGGATAGGCTATAAAAAATGCACGCCTTAGGAGAGGCTATAAAAATCCACGCCTTGGGATAGGCTATAAAAAATCCACGCCTTAGGATTGGCCTTAGGATAGGCTATAAAAAATCCACGCCTTAGGATAGGCTATATAAAATCCACGCCTTAGGATATGCTATAAAAAATCCACGCCTTAGGAGAGGCTATAAAAAATGTTTAAAAATATACGACTTAGGATAGGTCTTAATATTACACGCCTTATGATAGGCTATAAAAATCCACTCCTAAGGATAGGAAATAAAAAAATCCATGCCTAAGGATAGGCTATAAAAAATGTTTCAAAAATCCACGCTAAAAAATCCAGGATTAAAAAATTTTTAAAATCCAAGCCTAAGGATAGGCTATAAAAAATGTTAAAAAGGGTCCACGCCTATGGATAGGCTATAAAAAATGTTAAAAAAGTCCACGTCTAAGAGTAGCAAAAATGTTTAAAAAAATCCACGCCTAAGGATAGGCTATAAAAAATGTTTAAAAAACCCACGCCTAAGGATAGGCTATAAAAATGTTTAAAAAATCCACGCCTAAGGATAGGCTATAAAAAATGTTTAAAAAATTTACGCCTAAGGATAGGCTATAAAAAATGCCTGGGGATAGGCTATAAAAAATGTTTAAAAAATCCACGCCTAATGATAGACCATAAAAAATGCCTGGGGATAGGATATAAAAAATGTTTAAAAAATCCACGCCTAAGGATAGGCTATAAAATTTTTTTAAAAAAACCACGCCTAAGGATTGGCTACAAAAAATGTTTAAAACAATACACGACTAAGGATAGGCTATTAAAAATGCCTGGGGATAGGCTATAACAAATGTTTAAAAATTCACGCCTAAGGGTAGGCTATAAAAAATGTTTAAAAATTCACGCCTAAGGGTAGGCTATAAAAAATGTTTAAAAAATCCACGCCTAAGGATAGGCTATAAAAAATGTTTAAAAAATCCACGCCAAAGAATAGGCTACAAAAAATGTTTTAAAAATCTACGCCTAAAGACAGGCTATAAAAACATTTAAAAAGAAAACACGGCTAAAGATAAGCCTCGAAAATTTGTTTTTAAACTCAAGCCTAAAGATAGTCCTCGACAAATATTTTTTTTAATCCACGTCTGAAGATAGGACTCGAAAAATATTTTGGACCTAAAAATAGGCCTCGTAAACTATTTGTTGAAAAGTTCACGCCTAATGATAGACCTCGACAAATATTTACTTTTAAATCCACGCCTAAAGATAGGCCTCGAAAAATATATATTTGTAATCCATGCCTAAAGATAGGCCTTGAAAAAATATTTTTTTAAAAAACCAAGGCTACAAAAAATGTTTAACAAATTTACGCCTAAGAATAGTCTATCTATGAAATATTTTCAAAATGCTTCTCTTGAGCTTAGTTTCACTGCAAACACCCTTTCGCTTTAGCAAATAAAATTCTATTTTCCAACTTTTTTTCTCCTCTTAACAAATCAAACACTTCCCTAAGATATCCGTTTTTCCATTCATATTTTCTGCCAAACCAGCCGGCCATCATCTTTGCCACTCATTTTTCTAAAACAGTTTCCTTCAAAACTCGTTCTTCATATTTTTTTCTATTCTTTGCCATTTTCCCTTCATCTTTTCTTTTCATTTCTTTTTCTGATTTGTTTTTCTGCAATTTCCTTAATTTCACCCTTAATAACTCAACAAACATAGCCTCAGGGTATTAACTTAACAAATGCAAATATTTGATAGATAAGCTTCCGTTTTCCCGAACAGCGTGAACGAACATGAAAGTACGACGGACTACCTACCACCCTGAGACTCCAGCCCCGCAGTCAACTGATATCAACAACAGAATTGGCGTCACACAACCACTAGACAGCATCTATCGTTGCTGTTGCGCTCTGCATCCGCAGCCATTGGCGGCAACAACAGCAACAAAAAATCGCAACGGGCGGTGCGGCGGTAGCTAAATCATCCAAATGGAATTCCTCTGAACTCTGAATGGGTAAACAATAATTATGCGGGGCACTTAACATTTCAACGCCAAGAAAATTATAGCAATGAAAGGGCGGAATGTCTTGCGATATGGAGCTGGGAAAGGGAGGAAGAGTGATTCGTTCCAAAGAAGTTTGGAAAATTAATTAAAAACAAAGGCGTGGATTTTTCAAACACTTCTTTCGAGGTTCATCGACAGACATGGATTTTTTAAAAATACTTTTTCAGGGCCTATCATTTGGCGTGGATTTTTTTAAAATATTTGTTATAGGCCTATCATTAGGCGTGGATTTTTTTTAAATATTTGTTAAGGGCCTATCATTAGGCTTGGATTTTTTTTAAATATTTGTTAAGGGCCTATCATTAAACCAGTGAACCTCTAGTGAGCTAGTAAATCATCTGTTGAGCTAGTGAATCTCTGGTGAACTAGTGAATCATATGGTGAGCTAGTGAACCATTCGTGATTTAGAGAACAACTGGTGAGCTAGTAAACCATTCGTATTTTAGAGAACCACTGGTAAGATAGTGAACCACTGGTGAGGTAAGGAACCACTGATGAGTTATTGAACCACTGGTGAGCTAGTGAACTACTGAGCTAGTGAACCACTGATGTGCTAGTGAATCATCTGGTGAGCTAGTGAACCCCTGGTGAGCTAGTGAACCTCTGGTGAGCTAGTGAACCTCTGGTGAGCTAGTGAACCTCTGGTGATCTAGTGAACCTCTGGTGATCTAGTGAACCTCTGGTGAGCTTGTGATCCTCTGATGAGCTAGTGAACATTTGGTGAGCTAGTGATCCACTGGTGAGCTAGTGAACAACTGGTGGGCTAGTGAACAACTGGTGAGCTAGTGAACCTCTAGTGAGCTAGTGAACCTCTGGTGAGCTAGTGAACCTCTGATGAGCTCGTCAACCTCTGGTGAGCTAGTGAACCTCTGGTGAGCTAGTAAACATTTGGTGATCTATTGAATATATGGTGTGCTAGTGAACATCTGGTGAGCTAGTAAACCTCTGATGAGCTAGTGAACCTCTGATGAGCTAGTGAACCTCTGATGAGCTGTTAAATTTGTTAAAAAAAAAGGAAATTCCGCTATCTGGTGAGCTAGTAAACCACTGGTGAGCTAGTAAACCTCTGGTGAGCTAGTGAACCTCTGGTGAGCTTCTGAACCTCTGATGAGCTAGTGTACCTCTGGTGAATTATGAACCTCTGCTGAGCTAGTGAATCTCTGGTGAGCTAGTGAACCTCTGGTGAGCTAGTGAACCTCTGGTGAGCTAGTAAACATCTGGTGTGGTAGTGAACTTCTGGTGAGCTATTGAACCTCTGATGAGCTTTTAAATTTGTTCATAAAAGGAAATTCCGCGATTTTTTATGGTTTATTTTTCAATCTTGGATTTTTCCACTTTTTCCTCGTACAGTTATGACTCCTTGTTTAACATTGGATTAGTATCTCCTATTTCTGATGTTATCTTCTTTTTTTCGTAAAATTCCATAATGTCTGCAAACTTTCAATGCTAGCCGCCAAATCAAAAACTTTTCGCAGAAGAAAAACATTTCTAAAGAAAATTTTCATTTTCATTCAAACACTGATAATCATTAGGAGTTACCTCTAGTTTATGAGACAAAAAAGGGAGAAGAGCTAATTTTTTTTCTTCAAAGGACAATCAGGAATAGAAGAAAGGAACTAATAAACATTGTCGAACAAACAAAAAAATTGTGGAGGCCTGCAACGACAACAAATAAAAAACACGAAGCCAAACACGAAATCACCGGCCACAATAACTTTTTTAATTATCCGTAGTCCTCCGCATAATTATGGCAAACATTTAAATTTACAAACGGCCAATGCGAAATAGAAAAAAAGGACAAAAAACTACATTCATCATGTCCTTTAAAAAACCAAGGACAACAACGACAACAACTATTAGAGAACCAGGAACAAATAAGGATAAAAAACGATACGATGAGACATTTGCTCATTTGACTTTGTCTACATGAGGATTACACAATGCAGCACCAGCAACAACAACAAACACTAAAACTGATTTCATCCCAATTGTTGTCGTTGCCGTTGTTGTTCTTGTTGTTAGTCGTGTACTGCCTACTACTTTGGCTGCTGTTGTCTCCCGAACAAGTTACGACTACAACACAAAAAAGGACGTTGCCATTTTTTCCGCAATTGTTCTTTTTTTCGTTTCGTTTGGTTTTGTTTTTGTTGCTCTCTTCTCATATCTTTGTAATGTAAGAGAGGTAATCACCGAATGGAACAAGTTTGAAATTGCTTTTGCTGGTAAAGAAGTTGCAACAAACAAAAAAAAAAGAACACGAACAGCAACAACAACAACAACAACACTAAGAGGAACAACATCATAGACATATAGCCCAAATTGTAAAATGAGCCAAACATTTTACAAATGTCCTTTTTCTTTGACTTTTTATTTTTTCGGGTAACAGATACTTGGGTACTCTACAATTGGTACAATTGATCTAAAAAGAAAACCACAAGGGTGCTATGGAACCCTTGGTGAACCAGTGAACCGCTGTTGAGCAAGTGAACCTCTAATGAACCACTGAACTTCCAGTAAGTCAGTGAACTACTAGTAAGCTAGTGAAATACTGGTGGGCTCGTGAGACATAGGTAATCTAGTGAAACACTATTGAGCTAGTGAACCACTGATGGTCTAATGAGCCCCTAGTGAGCTGGTGGACCACTTGCGAGCTGGTGGACCACTGGTGAGCTGGAGAACCACTGATGAGCTGGTGGACCATTGGTGAGCTAGTGAGCCACTGATGAGCTGGTGAACCACTGGTGAGCTGATGAACCATGGGGAGCTAGAGAACCACTGGTGAGCTGGTGAACCACTGGTGAGCTGGTGAACCACTGATGAGTTAGTCAACCACTGGTGAGCTAGTGAACCACTGGTGAACTAGTGATCCACTCGTGAACTAGTATACCACTGGTGAGCTAGTGAACCACTGTTGAGCTAGTGAACCTCTGTTGAGCTAGTGAACCTCTGGTGAGCTTGTAATCCACTAATGAGCTAGCGAACCTCTGGTGAGCTAGTAAATCTCTGGTGAGCTTGTGATCCACTGGTGAGCTAGTGAACCACTGGTGAGCTAGTGAACCACTGGTGAGCTAGTGAACCACTGGTGAGCTAGTGAACCACTGGTGAGCTAGTGAACCACTGGTGAGCTAGTGAACCACTGGTGAGCTAGTGAACCACTGGTGAGCTAGTGAACCACTTGTGAGCTGGTGAACCACTGGTGAGCTGATGAACCACTATAGAGCTAGTGAAGCAGTTGAGAGCTATAGAACCCTTAGTGAGCCAATGAAGCAGTTGAGAGCTATAGAACCCTTAGTGAGCCAGTGAAAGACTGAAATCCCAATGTATTTGTGAACTAGTGAACCAATGGGAAGCTAGCGTTAAAAATTAAAAAAATTATGCCTTCTGAGGCCTTGGAAAAATGTTCTTTAAAAAATCTACGCCTTCTGAGGCCTTGGAAGAATGTTCTTTAAAAAATCTACGCCTCCTGAAGCCTTGGAAAAATATTCTTTAAAAAATCTACGCCTCCTGAAGCCTTGGAAAAATATTCTTTAAAAAATCTACGCATTCTGAGGCCTTGGAAGAATGTTCTTTAAAAACTCTACGCCTTCTGAGGCCTTGGAAAAATGTTCTTTAAAAACTCTACGCCTTCTGAGGCCTTGGAAAAATGTTCTTTAAAAAATCTACGCCTTCGATATGCCTTGGAAAAATGTTCTTTAAAAAATCTACGCCTTCGATATGCCTTGGAAAAATGTTCTTTAAAAAATCTACGCCTTCTGAGGCCTTTGAAAAATGTTTTTTAAAAAATCTACGCCTTCGACAGGCCTTGGAAAAATGTTCTTTAAAAAATCTACGCCTTCTGAGTCCTTGGAAAATGGTCTTTAAAAAATCTACGCCTTCAGAAGCCTTGGAAAAATGTTGTTTAAAAAATCTACGCCTTCTGAGGCCTTGGAAAAATGTTCTTTAAAAAATCTACGCCTTCTGAGGCCTTGAAAAAATGTTCTTTAAGAAATCGACGCCTTCTGAGGTCTTGGAAAATTTTTCTTTAAAAAATCTACGCCTTCTGAGGCCTTGGAAAAATGTTCTTTAAAAAATCTACGCCTTCTGAGGACCTTAGAAAAATATATTTCAAACATATTTTTCAGAAAATCCAATATTTTTTTAGTTTAGTACTGTCCCTAAAAGTCGTCTCCAATTTCCGTTTGGTAATTGTCACTTTGGTCCTTTGTCATTTTTGTCTATTTACACGTAGGCTGGCTTCTGTTAAGCTATAGTCATTTTTGGTTTTTCTAATGTTCACTTGTTTCTCTTTTTCTTTGTTGGCCAATTCCCCAGCATTGTTTTTCTACCACTCCTCCACCTCCAAAAAATCCTCGCCATCTCATTTTCCATGATTGTCCTGCTCATCATTTCATGGGTGTTTTATGCAATTTGACTTTTAAACAAGCAAAGTGGAAGAGAACGCAACTCCAATAAAAAAAAACGAAAGAAAGAAACCGCAGAATTTCCACTTTTCCACAGAAACGATGAGGAACAGCAAACAACCCAAAAAATAGGAAAAAAAACCCGACGGTATGGAAATATTATCCCAAAACGAAAAAGAGAGTAGCTGGCAAATAAATGAATGATAGTAGTCTCCATTTCCACTAGGCAAACACAGGAATAAAAATTAAGGATTTATTCCTGAACGTTGTCTTCATGCCGACGATGGGATTTTTTGTTGGTCCTGGTTTTTCTGGAAAAGGGTTGAATTTCATTACAGGAATAGAAGGATGGCCAGGGGAGTGGAGTGGAGGCAGATGAGCTTGCATTAAACGAGATTGAGACATAACATTTAAGGACACTGCAATTATTTACATACGGTTTATAAGTACGAAAGTACACACGCACACACTTACACACACACACAAACATACTCGAATTCACATCCCTGCGAGTCCCGAAAAAAGGATGAATCTTTTGTTCTCTGTTATGGATTTTACTATTATGGCCAAAGTTTAATTGTTGTTGCTGGCAAAAAACGAGTTTTTCATTTCGGTGCAGAGGGGAGAGGGGAAGGGGGAGTTGGAGAGCATTTTAAGTACTTTTAATGGTTACTTTTGCTTGCCACTGTTGTTCTCCTTTGTTTTTCTTTTAGCTTTTTTTCCCATTTGGTGGAATTACGAGAAGTTCTATTTAAAAATGGGATATGGATTACTTCTTAACGTTGACAATGATTGTCTCCTGGATAGTTAAGCACTTAATTCCACAAGCTAAGTAGTTGGAGGTAAGGCAGAGGCCAAAAACAAGTTAAATTACTACAATTTTATAACCTCAAAATCATAGACTTCGTAATGGTCGATGAGGCCAACAAAGGGGAGGGCAAATGTTAACTACCATGGATTACAAGATACAAGAAGAAGAGTTAAAGTTAAATTAATTTTGAAAGGCTATTTGAGGTGAGATGGAAGGATAAGGAAATGGAGAACAGATTTAAAAGACATTAGTCAAAAGAAAAATATTTTTCTAAGGTCCTTAGACAGTCGTGGATTTTTAAAAATATTTTTCTAAGGTCATTTGGAGACCTTTTCAAGGCGTGGATTTTTAAAAATATTTTTCTAAGGACCTTTGGTGACCTTTTCAAGGCGTGGATTTTTTAAAAATATTTTCTAAGGTCCTTTGGTGACCTTTTCAAGGCGTGGATTTTTTAAAAATATTTTTCTAAGGTCAAGGCGTGGATTTTTAAAAATATTTTTCTAAGGTCAAGGCGTGGATTTTTTAAAAATATTTTTCTAAGGTCAAGGCGTGGATTTTTAAAAATATTTTTCTAGGGTCCTTTGGTTACTTCTTCAAGGCGTGGATTTCTAAAAATATTTTTCTAGGGTCCTTTGGTTACTTCTTCAAGGCGTGGATTTTTAAAAATATTTGTCTAAGGTCCTTTGGAGACCTTTTCAAGGCGTGGATTTTTAAAAATATTTTTCTAAGGTCCTTTGGTGACCTTTTCAAGGCGTGGATTTTTTAAAAATATTTTTCTAAGGTCCTTTGGTGACCTTTTCAAGGTGTGGATTTTTTAAAAATATTTTTCTAAGGACCTTTTGTGACCTTTTCAAGGCGTGGATTTTTTAAAAATATTTTTCTAAGGTCCTTTGGTGACCTTTTCAAGGCGTGGATTTTTTAAAAATATTTTTCTAAGGTCAAGGCGTGGATTTTTAAAAATATAGTCAAGGCGTGGATTTTTAAAAATATTTTTCTAAGGTCAAGGCGTGGATTTTTAAAAAAATATTTTTCTAAGGTCAAGGCGTGGATTTTTAAAAAAATATTTTTCTAAGGTCAAGGCGTGGATTTTTAAAAAAATATTTTTCTAAGGTCAAGGCGTGGATTTTTAAAAATATTTTTCTAAAATCAAGGCGTGGATTTTTAAAAATATTTTTCTAAGGTCAAGGCGTGGATTTTTAAAAATATGTTTCTAAGGTCAAGGCGTGGATTTTTAAAAAAAATTTTTCTAAGGACCTTTGGTGGGCTCTTCAAGGAGTGGATTTTTAAAAAAAATATTTTTCACTGCCTATTCAAGGCTTGGATTTTAAAAAAAAAATTTCTAAGGACGTTTGGTGGGCTCTTCAAGGAGTGGATTTTTTAAAAAAAATATTTTCACTGCCTATTCAAGGCTTGGATTTTTAAAAAAAAAATTTCTAAGGACCTTTGGTGGGCTTTTCAAGGAGTGGATATTTAAAAAAATATTTTTCAGTGCCTATTCAAGGCTTGGATTTTTAAAAAAATAGTTTTCATGACATCACCAAGACCTATGAAAGGAGTCGATTTAAAAAAAATAGTTTTCAGTGCCTATTCAAGGCTTGGATTTAAAAAAAAATATTTTTCTTTGACTTTGGACTCTTCTAAGTGTTTAATTTTATTCCGTACCATAATGAGATCCTGGGATATTTTTTAATGAACTCCCCCTTTCCTCCCCCTTCCAAAAAATTTACCACCAGCCAAAATAATCATAAATGAAGTCGTTTTAACGTCTTTCCGACAAAAACACACAATTTAAAGTAAACGACTTACGAGTCTAATAATCCGCCATTTAGTCATAGCCATGTCTACAAGCAAGAACAACCAAAAAATGTCATCATTCTTTCAAAGATTATCTTTTAAGACCTAAACGTGATTAGAATATTCAATCAAACATTTTTTTGGTGGCTCAGGCAGACGGAATTCGTTTTTTTTTTTTTTTTTTCATCTTCGCCTCATTTTTTAATAATGCATTCCGAACGTGGTCCGTTTAGTAGCTACCACCATTTTTTTAAGGAAGGAGAGAATACCATTCTTCCCTTCGAAGATGTAACAAAAGCCATAGATAAAACTCTAAGAAACACGTGATAGTATTTGGTAGCTAAATAAGATCTTTAACGAAGATGACTATCCTCCTCCAAATAAATATAAAAAACACACACACACAGAAACTTCCTTGTACTCAAAATCGTTCCTCCTCGCCTAGTGACACTCCCACCGAAACACGAAACGAAAAACAATTTCAAACTAAATTGTAATGAAAATTGTTGGCAATACAATTGAAAGGAAGAACACGAACAACAACAACAACAACTATGTGAGCATGAAAAAATAACAACAACAACAAATAAGCATAGCAATTTTCCATGAGATAAGCAAATGAGGAAATTCATGTTTATGTCAAGGATAATTAAAGAGGAATGGGGGAGGCGGGTGGAGAGAGGTATGATGGGAGTGCCTTGCAGTTGCTTAACTGAAATCATTTCAAATCAAAAACAAATTTCAAAATTATAGCCTTTTCTCAAGAAAAAAGACTGAAACTTGGGAAGTTCGGCTGGTAAAGAACCTTGTGTATCCTTCTTGAAACTTGGAAAGTTCGGCTGGTAACGAACCTTGTGTATCCTTTTTGAAACTTGGGAAGTTCGGCTGGTAACGAACCTTGTGTATCCTTTTTGGAACTTGGGAAGTTCGGCTGGAAACGAACCTTGTGTATCCTTCTTTAAAAATCCACGCCTCTGATAGGCTTTGAAAAAAATATTCTTTAAAACACCCACGCCTCTGATATTCCTTGAAAAAAATATTCTTTTAAAAAAACACGCCTCTGATAGGCCTTGAAAAAATATTCTTTAAAAAATCCACGCTTCTGATAGGCCTTGAAAATAATATTCTTTAAAAAATCCACGCCTCTGTAGACCTTGAAAAAAATATTCTTTAAAAAATCCACGCCTCTGATAGGCATTGAAAAAATATTCTTTAAAAAATCCACGCCTCTGATAGGCATTGAAAAAATATTCTTTAAAAAATCCACGCCTCTGATAGGCATTGAAAAAATATTCTTTAAAAAATCCACGCCTCTGATAGCCATTGAAAAAATATTCTTCAGAAAATCCACGCCTCTGATAGACCTTGAAAAAAAATTATTTAAAAAATCCATGCCTCTGATAGACCTTGAAAAAAATATTCTTTAAAAAATCCACGCCTCTGATAGACCTTGAAAAAAAAATTATTTAAAAAATCCATGCCTCTGATAGGGCTTGAAAAAAAATATTCTTTAAAAATCCACGCCTCTGATAGGCCTTGAAAAAAATATTCTTTAAAAAATCCACGCCTCTGATAGGCCTTGAAAAAAATATTCTTTAAAAAATCCCCGCTTCTGATACGCCTTGAAAAAAATATTCTTTAAAAAATCCACGCCTCTGATAGGCCTTGAAAAAATATTCTTTAAAAAATCCACGCCTCTGATAGGCCTTGAAAAAAATATTTTTTAGAAAATCCACGCCTCTGATAGGCCTTGAACAAAATATTCTTTAAAAAATCCATGCCTCTGATAGGCCTTGCAAAAAAAATATTCTTTAAAAAATCCACGCCTCTGATAGACCTTGAACAAAATATTCTTTAAAAAATCCACGCCTCTGATAGACCTTAAAAAAATATTCTTTAAAAAATCCACGCCTCTGATAGGCCTTGAAAAAAATATACTTTAAAAAATCCACGCCTTTGATAGACCTTGAAAAAAATATTCTTTAAAAAATCCACGCCTCTGATAGGCCTTGAAAAAATATTGTTAAAAAATCCGCTTCTTTGATAGGCCTTGAAAAAAAACATCTTTAAAAAATCCACGCCTCTGATAGGCCTTAAAAAAACAATATTTAAAAAATCTACGCCTCTGATAGGCCTTGAAGAAATATTGTTAAAAAATCCACGCCTCTGATAGGCCTTGAAAAAATATGTTAAAAAAATCCACGCCTGCCTAAGAACCCTGAAACACACATTTTTAAAAATCCAAGCCTAAAAAATGAACCTCGAAAACATATTTTTAAAAATTCTCGAGACAACTATTATCCTCATTATCCGTTCAAAACCCATAGAAGAACTGAACATACCTCTCCCCTGACAACAACAACCACTCCACGGAAAACAATTATTGTGTTGACAATTTCTCATTACCAGTCAAGCATCGAAACTCTGCAAAGACGACAAATAGGAGGGAGATTTGAACAGGCACACATTAGATAATTTGTAACAGGGGTGGGTGGGGGAGCAGGGCAAACTCGAAATACTCTCGAAATACCGTTACTGCATGCAAATCACCTCTTCAAAGTTTAATACGCCATAAAATTTACGTGTAATCTTAAATTAGCTTTCGTTCATCTAACATGCGGATGTGTGTGTGTGTGTGCGAGATTTTCTTCGTTGTTGTTTTTGTTGCTGCTTGGTATTGTATTAGCTTTGGCTTTTACTTCATTT